CATGGGACATCTTTTGAATGCACAGAAATATTAGGCGGATTTATATGTGCTACAAAGTGTCTTGGTGTGTATTGTTCCAGGATGGTGTTCTTTAAAGACACCCCTCTTTGGAAAAGGGGGGCAGAGGGCATTTGATTTTGGGGAGGGGGGTTCTGTGGCAGAGAAATTCCTGGCAGGAGAAGGAAGCACATGGGGGCAAACGCAGGCAATTACTGCCCCTGGGACCTTCATTCCGGCGAGTGTCTGGATAGCAGGTGCTGAACCAGAGTTTTCCCAGAGAGTCAAGGCTCTGGGTGCAAAATTTGGGTCCCGGCCCTGGCTGGCTGCTCCCTGAACACGGCCTCTGGCTTCCACGTCCCTGAGAAAGTGTGAGAACAAACGAGACAGAGGGCTAATTAATTATAATCCAAGAGGAAAGACTTGGCTGAGATGCTCTGCGGTGGAAGCCAGGGGATGGAAGCATTTATCTTACCTGAGGCAGGTGAGGCAAGAAATGAATTGGCTGGCTCTGCCTCTTGCACGATTTAAAACCAATTCTAATAATGATTTCAGGGTTTGCATCCCAATCCAGCCAGGGAAACTGTATGCAGGGTTGTGTCCCATAACACATCTTTGAGGTACACAATAAGGCCCCTGGGCTGTAACCACTATGCCGTACTGTTGGTTTTTTTAAAGATCTCCCATGCATTTTTTTGAAACCTCCATGGTGCATTTCTAGAAGGGAAGAGGCAGCATCTCTCTTCTGCTCCAGCCAGAAGGCCCAGATCTCACCAGGATAAGGTAAAATCAAGCAACCAGCTTCCCCCACACACTTAAAGTAAGAAATCCTAGCCAGAGAAGGCGCTTAATTTCATTCCCTGCTATTATTTAGCAGTGCAAACGGGACCGGGGGAGCGGCAAAGCCTCTACTAGCTTGCTACCCTTAAATAATTAGCAACTTCTGGACTGACAAGGGCAAATCATTAACGTAGAGAATCCATCCGGGAATAAATTATGGGAAGTCACATTTGGAGAGTGATAAGATCCCTTTTATCATTAGCATTCTGAAGAGGAAACTCTGCATCGATGGATCTAACCTTCTCTTTCACCTACTCCAAATAGCAAGGTGGAGAACTGTCACTCTCTTTCCTTTGTGTATTTTTAAAGGATATTTAGAGGAGCGCAATTTCAAGTGGGTACTGATCGGGGTTACATTTCTTGTGTTCTAGCTATACCCTCCTCCACACTTGAAGGCGAGCCCTTCAATTTTATGGGGTGGGGGGGGAGAGGCCTTGAATTCCTGGAAGGCCATTTGCCCAAAATGCTGACCATGAACTTTCCTGAAATGAGCTACAGAGGCCTCTAAAGAAAGAATTCTGCTCCATCTGAACCCCCCAATTAGTTGGCTTTTTGCTACATGGACTTCTTTTCCTGCTGCCCCCCATATCTTTCTGCTTGAAGTCCCCCCCAAATATATGCTCTGTTCTCCCCTGTACATGTATCCATTTTTACAAGTGGGGGGGGGTCTTTAGAAGACAAGGTCCTTTAAAGACTCTCTTGGGCCTTGAAGGGTCTCTTGCTATGGACTACAAGCTCCATGCACGATCAGAAGGAGTGTGACTAAAGATGGTCGTCAGTGATCATTTAGTTAAGCTGACCTGGACTCTTGTCCGTTCATTGCGGCACTGTTGGGACCCCCCCCCCCCGCCACAGTGCTATCGGGTAGCAGAATTAATGGGGCTCCCTATCCACTCCAGATTTTGCCTGCGCTGTCAAGCAGCTATCTATGGTACTGAACACGATCCCTGCCTAGGTCCAGTCGCACAGCTGGCCCTTCTAGAATTCGGAGTGGTGAAGGAGCACCACGTGAGATTTAAAACTCCTTGAGACAGGATGCGAGCGAGCGCAAGCAGTTTATTCCATACGAAAAGCGTTGGCAAAGGCTGGCTCAAGGCCTCAGTTGCCTGAGGAACAAAGAGCAATTATTTCAAACATCAATGAGATTATATACATTCCTTTCCCCGATGCTCCGCACTATCCCCGCTTCGCCATTGGCTGGTATCATACGACTCCTTCATATGTTCCCCCCTCCTGCTCTACATCCCATGTTCATGCTAATGAGCCCATTACCTATGGGAGGTGTGTCATTTACTATTCATAAACTTATTAAGCTTGCGCAGTACCTTCTCAGACGTCAACAGGCCGAAGTGGCCTTGAAAATTCTTTCTTGATGCCCGCTTGCTTTTTAAACCTTGTGGGAGGATGTGATAGGAAGAGCAACCCTTCTTCCAAGCTCCTTCCAGTTTCTGTTCAGTTGGATACGTGCCTGTATACTTAGTAGCAACTGGCGGCTTACTATGAAATAGCTGTGGGTTTGCTAGTTCTTTTTTCTTTTTTAAAAGATACTATTCTTGCTCTGTTTCTCACAACCACAACCCCGGAGGCGGCACCAGCATCCATAGGTTTGGGGGGCTCCAACGCACGACGCTCTGGCCATGCAGTTCCCTCCAGAAGTTTTGGGCTGCAAATTCCATAATTCCTGGCCACTGACCGGGGCGTAAGGGAGCTGCACTCCGAAGCATCTGGCTGGACCCAGACTGAGAGCCGCAAAACTCTGTTTTTCCTGGCACAGACGAATGTTGTTGTCCCTGTGATGAATTGTTTCAAGTGCCCCCTCTCGGCCACCGCTGCTTTATAGAGATGCATGCAGGTAGTGCCATCTGGTGGGGAGCTGCAAATCTTGGCATTTTCCGGCATTTTCCGAACCCAGTGATTCCGACCACTGTTCAGGGCTGAGAGCTGTGCTGGAAGGAAGCCCGGAGTCAGGAGGGGCCAGGAAGCAAAGCCAGGAGTCAGCCAGGAGGACCACACAGAGCAGCTCAGAAGACTCCGTGCTCCTCCGCTTCACCTCTCCCGGCTTCCCATGAGCACCCAGCATCTTCTGGTGTGAAGATTACGGATGCAGCAACACAATCCTAACCTGCAAGCTCCTGGGCCCGGAGAAGCAAGATGAAAAGACTGGAAACAGAAAGGGAAAGAACCGGAATATGTGTAAATATTTATTAAAGGGACTTATCTTCCACCTTTCCCAAAGGAAAATGGCCAAAATAGCAACGTCGTCATTATCATAGGCTAAGGAACTGCTTTCTGCTGGTTGTCGGGATGCCCCTATTAGGTTAATGGGTAGGCGGACCCTTCCCCCAGGGATGCTGGCTTTGCTCCAGCAACTTAAGGGCTGTTTCGGCTCAAGCGCCGGGATGAGAGATGACGAAACCACGTCTCAAGGCCACACTGGAAGGGCAGGTTAATGATTGGAGCCGCTGTTCTGCATGACCCTCCGAAGTCTGGCCCTGGCATGGAAAATACCAAACCAAACTGATCCTAAAAAAGGTCTTCCCACCTGCTCACCGCAGACAAAATTCATGGTCTGCAGAAGCTCCTTTTCGTTCTGCTGAAAATGGACCCAACTCTGCCCAGCACAGCAGCCCACGCTGGAAGTCCAGGAAGGGGCAGCACTTTGGCGCCGCAAACACACACCCTGGTGAGGCCTCTACACCCTGCAGCCCCCCAAAGAATTACAAGGGGTGCTGATAACCAGAACAGCAGATTTGCCACTGATGTTTGGCAGTAGCTCCTTCGGAAGACGACCATGGCCAAATTCAGACCTCAGGGGAGTTAAATACATCACTTTGTGTAGCCGTTCCTGTGGTGTTTATTTTTTCCTGGGGGTGTGTGTGTGTGGGGAGGGAGCTACAGGGCACATGCCACGGGTGGCAAAAGGGCTGATCATTCCCCCGCAACTGGAGGGCGCTAGGTTGGGGAAGGAGGGTTGACTGCACTGAAATGTTGACGCAAAAGAACTTCCGTGTGTGATGTATGTATGTGCGGAGAGAGAGAAGCAGCCGGCATATCCTATTAACCTTTAAACAGCCGGGCACCCCTCCTTCTGCCTGAATCCATTTAGTCACTAAGTCAACAGCTCTGGGCACACACAGGTGTACACAGACCTTGGAAACAATCCGATGGGAAGAGTTTTCTGGCTCCACTTCTGAACAGTCTGGAAGATTTTCCGAGTTGAATATGGCCCACTAGCTGGTTTCTTTCTCTACCTTTCTTGGGAAGTCTTTGGCATTCTTCAGAGTTGCTCTGGCACCGCTGTCGGGGCTTTCCATGTACAAAGAAAGCTGCCTGCCAGCTTGCCGCTCCAGGGACGATTTTGTGCGCTGCAAAAGGAACGACGGCGTGTCCAGAGTCCCGGCTGAGAGTAAACACACGTTTTCAGAGCTCGCTGCGTCGCCCTGTGCTTGGGGGCAACCCGGGTGACAAGGGACAAGCGTTTGCCAGGAGTCAACTGGAGAAGAGAAATGACTGGTAAGACAAAATTTCCGCCAACTCGCCTTTCATGAAACTGAAGGCGGCCCATGGTACGGGTTGCATTATATAGTGCAAAAAGCTACGTATAGGGTAACTTGGATACACATTTAAACGGGGGGCTTGTGAAAATGACTGTGCAATCCTAAAGATGCACAGGATTGTGACCGTAATCAGAGAACAGTACATTTGAGAAATTGTCACTGAATTCTGCATAAATGTCTAATTTATCTGCATTTAAGTTCACTTTTCGTCTCCCTTTAAAAACAGGGCACTTAAATTTCCACAAAGAAGGCATTTCTCCTTTGCTTACGGAGTGATCCTATTATCTCTGGAAAACATCCCAAGGACCACTTTTACCGGTGCTCTTTTCTCCCCCGATTTTTGTGCCACCAAATTGGCGTAGAATTTTGGGAAAGTTTAAAAAACGGTCCACAGTGGCACAGAATCTGTGTGACTCGGGAAAAGCCGGTTTGCGAGAGAACCAGTGGGGTGGTTCCGTAGACATCGAAACTTAGTGGAGCCTGTTGGGGAGAACTCCAAGATTCCTAATTGCAGGATCACAGAAGTGGGGTAGAAGGACCTCGGAGAAGTTTGAAAGGGGATTTTGCAGGGGGGTGAGGAGCGGAGAAGAGAGAATATGCCAGACGATGGTCACTCCAGACCCACCTCCGCCCTGCAAGTGTCCCTCCACTGGGCAGGTCTGGAGGCTGGTCGAGGCATGGGGGAAAGCAAAGGAAAATGGAGGAGGATAACTCTGGGACAGCACTGGACCTTCCTGGGTTGAGAGCGGAGCTTTCTACTCAACAAGTTGCGACTGCAGGATCGATCGCTCTTGTTCTTGACTTGCTTCCTCCGAAGAGGCATTCCGTGCTGGGCAAGAGAAGAGGAAGGCCTGCCCGTTTCCTAGCCTGACCGTACCAGCAGCTGCTTTTGTGAGGACTTGTGCTTAAAACCGTTAACAGCGGTTTCAGAATCCGCTCAGAGGAATCTCTTAATCCCTTGAAAGGTGTTTAATCTACAAAGCCATTCTTTCTGCAACAGAGTTTTACTGCTAAAACACTAATGTGCTGATGATCACGCAAATGCGGGCATCTGTTTCATTCTTGCTTGAAGCCCTTGTTTTCTACATACAGAGGGATGGTTTGCTCCATCCCCCTGTATAGGAATAGGTAATTGGATTATCCTCCCCCCCATATTAGCATTTTAAACTGGTAGGTTCCAGGAGGGCTGTACCTTGTTGGTTCCTCTGCAAGCACAGATTGGCTCTTTCACAAATCCACTAGCATGGGATGAATCCAGCAAAGGACATCCAAATCCAGTCAACAAAGGGAAATCCAGTGCACAGGAAGACAAAGGAAGGGCTATTTACAGAATATTGAAATGTTTCGTGCTGACAGAGAGCTTGGATCCCAGCTGCATCCCTCTGCTGGTGGAAGATGCTTTAATCCAGGGGACAATCCCCCCCCCCGAACCCAAGAGGGCCTCCAAAATGTGACTCGGCCCCCAAGCTGAAGGATGTTCTGAATCCCTGCTCTATTTTGCTTCCTTTAGAATAATATTCTATTCACTTCAGCCTGCCTGCCTGTGTTTGGGGCTCTTCAGCTCATTCGGCTGGGCAGGATCCTGAACATTGGCCCCAAATCTTTATTTATCTGTTTTTATTTATTTAAAACGCTTGTATCCCATCCCATCACAGAGGTCTTGGGACGGTTCACAATAAACGACAACAAGATAAAATAAAAAAAGGCAAAGCAGCACAGCATCCAATCTCAAATGCCAAACCACAGATTAAGATAAATTAGCAATTGAAATAGTTCATCTGTATTTTATTTTCCCACTATCTTGCCTGTGTTCTGCTTTGGGACTGCCTCGTTTCGGCCCTGGTGGCCTCCCGCCTTCGCCCCTGCCCTCCAGAAAATAACGTGCGTTTTTGGGGGGTTTCTCCTTCTCTCGAGAGGCACACGAGTTGAGGCCGAGTTGGCCAGGAGGTGGATGGTGTTGAGCGAAGAGGTGTCCACGGAGGGAAACCGGCACGGAGGCAGCAGCGGATTTCTCGCTACGGCTTCTGGGGATAATTCAGTGCCGGGCGCCATGCCGGAAACATGGCGGGAGCTCCACCAAGCAGCCGGGAACGGGGACATCTACCTGGTACGGAGATTGTTAAAGCAAGGAGCACCCACAGAAAGCAGGTGAGGTCACGGCGGTGGAAGAGGAAGGCTTTGCCTGGGAACCAGCAGTTATGTTCCGTTTTGCTTCAACACCTAGCAAAGGCACCCAAATTCAAGCTCCAAGCAGCCCTTTGTTTGCATAAAGGCTCGGTTGTGACAAACTAACAGCTCTCCGAGCCGGATTTGCCGTGCCTGCCACATCTGGCGAACGCACAGCTGGCAGTACCCCATGGAGAGTGGGTCTGAGCATCCCATGCCCCCAGGTGGGGGCTGCCCCACAGCAGTGGGAAGGGGACGGGCGATTAGCTCTGTCCGTTGTTCTCCGAATCTCCCCAGGCACCAGAGCTGGGCAGAAAGCAACGTGGTGGGCTGGTTAGGGCAGTCTGGCCTTGACGGCTGAAGATAAACATATCCAGATTAAGAGAGCTTAATCCATGCGGATTAAAATCCAAGGAAACCTGAGATGCACACCCCTTGCGTGGTCTTGATATTCCTGCCATGCTGTTCAGGCCTTTATAGTTACCAATTTATCTATTGTTGTTGTTGCAAGTATATCCCACCGGTTTTTCCTTTTGCAAGTGCCTTTCATAGTCCTCCTCACAACACCACTATGAGGTAGGCCAGGCTGAGAGTCAGCGACTGGCCCAAAGCCACCAGTGGGCTTCATGGCCAAGGGGGGCTGGAACCCAGGGCTCCCCGAGTTGCTCTCTAACCACTACACCATCTGGCACTCACAACCACCCTGCAAGGTAGGCTAGACTGAGAAGAACTGAGGGGAGAGGTTTCCAGCCAAGCGGGGACTAGAACGCGGCTCTCCCGAGTCCCTATCCTGCACTCAAACCATTAACCAGTGTGCAGCTTTTCTTCAGCACCACAGCAGCAGGGCCGTGAGAGGCCGTTTGTGGTCGAGGGCACCATATCTGGGCCCCTTCGTGCCCCCTTCCAGGGGGGTCCGTGGAGGACAACTGGGCTAGGAAAAGAATCCACCAAGCCCCCACTTGAAAGGGCCCCTTCGGCCCTTGAGAGCCATGTTTCCCAGGATCCCCCAGGGCCGTGCAGGCCTGCGGGGGCGCCCCGTGGGGGCCCTGATGCTCCGATTGCTCCTTTCAGGGACGAGAACGGCTGGACCCCGCTGCACGCCGCCTCCCTCCACGGCTACGTCCGCCTGGTGAAGTTCCTGCTCCGCCGCGGCGCCGCGGTCCACGCCACCGACCACGCCGGCCACACGCCCCTGCACCACGCCGCCTGGAGCGGCCGCACGCAAGTGGCCGCGATCCTGCTGGCCCGGGGGGCGCCCGCGGCGGCCTCGACCGCGGCCGGCCTGAGCCCGCTGCACTGCGCGGCGGCCAACGGACACACCCTGGTGGCGCAGCTGCTGCTGGGGCAGGGGGGGGCTGCGGCCGGGGGGGGCCGCGGCCGGTGGGCGGCCTTGCACTGGGCGACGGCCGGCGGCCAGCTGCACATCATGGACCTGCTGCTGTCCCGGGGCAGCGGCCCCGACCTGGGCGGCCGAGGGGGCCTCACGCCGCTGCACGTGGCAGCCGAGGCCGGCAGAGCCGACGCGCTCCGCCTCCTGCTTGCGCAGGGGGCCACCCTGGACATCCGGGACGACCTGGGCAGGACCCCGCTCTCCATCGCTGCGGCCAACGGCTACCACGAGGTCAGCCCCCGTTTCCTGGAATCCGGAGTGGCCGAGCTGGGGGGCGCCGGAGCGCCTGCGGGTCCAACGCCGGCTCAGTGCGGCACGCCGAGCCGGCCTTCCCCCTCAGGCGGCTGCCCGGTTGCATCCTGCACCATGTCAGATCCCACCTTCTCCCTGGTTTTCGACTTTATTTTGTAGGCCACCTTTTTTCGGGAAACCCAACCCGGCATAGATTGCAATCCGGGCTCTCCGAGCCAGGTGCATATCCTTCCCCCCCAAATTCTCCACGCATAGACAAACTCTGGGCCCCGGATCTTTCCAGTGCCTTACACGGCTTCTCTCCTTGAGGGGGCCCACCTGTGTTTTGGCTCTGTCACTGGGCAGCAATTGCCCCTCGCGAACACGCAAGTTGCGTGGCTGGCACAGGCGCCCCAAGTTTCTCTCCCCTCTCCCTTTAGATCGTGAAGGCGCTGCTCCAGAGCCGAGCGGATGCAAACCTGGCCGACTGCTTCGGCTGCACGGCGCTTCACAAGGCTGCAACCGCGGGACACCTGCTCAGCGTCCGCCTCTTGGTCGAAGAAGGGGGTTCTGGAGTGAACAGCCCGGACGGCCTCCGTCTGACGCCGCTTCACAGGGCCGCTCGCTGCGGCCACGCTGACGTAGCCAGCTATCTCCTGGAGCACGGAGCCGGGGTCAACGCGGCCGGCTGGCTCGGCAAAACCCCCTTGCACCTGGCTGCGGAAGAAAGGCACTCCGTGATGGTGCAGCTTCTGCTGGCCAGGGGGGCGAGCCCCGAGCTGAGGTCTTGGTGGAAGGAGCCGGCCGAGGCGTCGGCCTTGGGGGCTCCAGGAGTGGATGCGATGCCCGGAGGACCTCAGACTTCCCCGCCACGGTTTTCTGATGCGTCCCTTCCGCCACATCCAGCTGAATATTAAAATGTGCACCTCGTAAAGGAGCATGATTTGTGCTTTTTACTTGTTTTAGGACAATCGTGTGTGAGGAAGCCTGGCTTGGGGGTTGCGATCCGTTGGATTTCCTCAGCTCAAAACCCAGAACTCTGGCCCGGTTCCTCTCTGTCCTGAGTGAAGCCGTGGGACCGTCTTGCGCACACGCCACCCACACACCCTCGTGCGGGTGGAGTTGTGCTTCCACACACGTGCTTTGCAGGCACCGAAGACTTTGCACAAAGTGTGCAAAGAAGCTGTTTGTGTACGCGAGCATCACAGATTGGAGCTTGGCCACTTGTCTCGCTCTATGATCAGGGCTGAGCGTGGGAAGCACAGGAGAGGCAGATTTTGGCCTGATCGTGGCATCTTTTGTTTAAGAGGTCGGCTGCATCATCAGTAGCGCATCGTTATCGATAAGAGGCGGGGGGATGGTTGTCCCCCCCTTTGCACGCAGAAATTTCCAGCTTCAGTCTCTGACATTTCAGGTTGGAAAGGAGTGGAGATCAGGGAATGAGGGGGACCTCTGCTTGAAATGTTGCGGGGAACTGTATCCAGCCAGTATAAACATTACAAGGTAAAAAGGGACAAATATCAAATTTCCTAAGATGATAAGTTGCCATTCAAAATATTATAAATAATATGCAATTGCTCCTTCTGGAGTCCACCCAGAGATACTCATTTCTTCTGCCCTTGTACGTATTTTATTTCATTCCAGAGTTTTTCCAGAGGTGCATTCCAATGTAAATGTCTGTTCTCCCAAGACAGAAAACTCTTCCAATTTTCTAATAGCCCTGGAAGGACTGTGGCCCTGCTTGGCTGGGGATCATGGGAGCTGTAATTCAACACGTGGAGGAATACCAGATTGGCAATGTTGCATGGATGAAATCTGGCTCTTGGATGAAGTAGAAATGAAATAAGAATAATTATGGGCCACAGCTATGGAGAGAGAGGCTGGTCAAGTTATTATTATTATTACTATTATTATTAACATTTCTATGCCGCCCCTTTTTGAACTGTTGGGGTCCTTAGCAGCCACTGTGGATCACGGGGCTGTTAAAAGGCAGAGCAGCTGGCCGGGCAGTACTTTCCTGGTCAGTTGGCAAGGTTAGATGGGGAGCTTCCTCGGGGCCTCTGGAGGAAACGGGCTGTGGCCTAGACAGAGTCTTACTCCAAGGTAGGGCTCTGCTCACACCTTAGTGCACATGTGCTCTGCGACAAGCCATGGGTTTGGGGGTCTTCCCGAGGCCGAATAAGATCAGGCTCACTTCCTGAACTCACAAGAACTCACTCCCACAAGACATGGCGAGGCAGAACCCTGGACGAGACGACGCTTGATCCCATCCAGAAAAGTGCTGGTTCTTCAGTCGTCGGACCCATTATTGGAGCAGGAGACAGACATGAATTAATGTGAATATTGATTCTTCCAAAACAGTGGGTGATTGGAGATACTTTGGGATGTGTGGACACCAGCAAGCCGAATGCATCCATTTTGCCCAGTTTTCCAGGAGCTTTTTGCTCTGTCTGCTGCTTGTGCATGGAACCGGCTTTTGTACGGAGGTGTGCTGAGATCAGCCAGCCGGTTTAATATTTTTCCCAACATTTTTATGGTATCATACATATGAGAAACATTTTTATGGACCGGGTAAACCTCCCAGAGTGCTTCGGCTGTGGGGCGGTACAGAAATGAAATAAAAGAATAAGTAAACGTCAGCATTGCAAGAAGGAGCAATATCCTGATGCTGCAGCAATTCCTCTCCCTGCAGACCATCCGCAGGTACTGTGAGAATCGCAGCTGAATTGGAAGAGAATATGGAAGTGAGGGGTGATGACATCAACATATTAAAATAATTGGTTCTTCATTAGCTTTTTAATTTTATAACATTGTTTTAAAAGAGAACATTAAGTGATAGCAATTCATTTTATACTTTGTTTTAGCTGCAGCCCTTAAATATAATAAAGGCCCGGCTCCGTTACCCCACCCTAGGCATGTGTAGACGGGCAGGACTTCGGATCGGGGGCGTGCGAGTGCTAGGACGGCCCCCCCAACCCAGCGGGGGAATTCTGGGAGTTGTAGGCCTTGCCCCTCCCCGTCTAAACATGCCCGCTGCGCTGTCCCCACTCGGGCCGCGCACGCCGAAGCGGCGCCGGAAGTGCCGGCGCGCGCGCTCCCTGCCTTCGCCTTCCGCGCGACCTCTAGGGGCGGCCCGCGTGCGCCGCCTTGCAAGCCGCTCTCCCCGCGCCCTTTCCGCGGGGCCCTTTGCGGAGCCGGGGGGGGGGGTCGGAGGTCGGGGGTCAGGATGGTCTTCTTGAGCCCCCGCCTCTGGATCCGCTCGCGGCTGCGCGACCGCTTTTGGCGCAAGCAGGAGGTGCTGCAGCACGCCCGGGTAAGGCCTTCGGATCGGGGCCCCGCGAGCACTAGGACGCCCCCTCCGCACGCTTCCCCAAATCCCCCCCCCCGTTCACCTCCCCTTGCACGGCCCCGCGCCCTTTGCAGCGTGGGGGGAGCCGGGCCGGGCCCCCTTTGGCCCCAGATCACCCTGGGTGGCGGCGTCTCCGATGAGCTGCTGCGCCTCCCGGGGGTTCTGTGCAGCTTGCTTGCTTGCTTTGGAGGACTTGCATGCCGCCCCACTCGGGGCGGCTTCCAAACATAAATAAATCTAATCAATACAATTGCATAAAATGTTGGAGACTCCCTGGCAAAAAAATCTTAAAATCAATAAATAAAATTAACGGTTAAAAGAACGTTTAAATAAAAAGGTCTTGATTGCACTGGGGGGGTGTCCAAACCCAGCTGGACTAACAAGCCAAGGCTTGCTAACCATTAACCCACGCAGAGAACCGTGGATTGTTACTGAGCTGTGAACCGGGGGTGACTCCGCATGGCTTGGGTGGGTGCGTACAAGGGGGGGTAACCCCCTTTCAGCCCACTCAATGCATGTACAACCTTTGGGTGCGTGTTTCTATATTGCCCAAGCCTGCAGTTGGAAGGCGAAGGTTTGGCTAACGTCCCAGACAGTATTCTCACTAACGCTTCTCCAGAGCACATGAGAGCGTGACTCCAATGATCATTTCTCCTAACGTCTTTCTAAGAAAGTAGAGGGCATAACACTAAATCATAATCTGTTAAAAGTTTTCCCATGGGAAGCTAAAGCAGTGATCGCTTTGAATAAACGTTAAAACCGGTCTTTTAAGTTTCTTGCTCATCAAGAGTGGAAAAGGTGATCGTAGCGGTGCTTGTCTCGATCTTCCATTGGGGACAGAAGCTTAAAAAAAAATAATCAGGATTGAATCTTGTGTGCAGTTTCCATCTAAACATACATAAGATTGTGTGTCTAAAGACTTGGTCTGAAATCTTACGCTTTTCTAACCCAGGACTAAGCCCCACTCTTGACTGTGGGCATGTGTCCAATATGGCACTGTTGATTTAGACCAGTGTTAAAGAAGTAGATTAAAACAATGCTTATTCCTAGAATATTCAAAGTTCTCTAAAGAGGCTTGTGGGAGAGAAAAGCGCTTTCCATGCTGCTGGGAGATGGCAGCCGGACTCTCTGTTGACAGGAGCAGCTTGGTTTTCACTCATTTTTGTTCTTTCCCCCGTTCTTAGCATTTCCGTGGACGGAAGAACCGTTGCTACAGCTTGGCCGTCCGTGCTGTCCGGAGGGCTTTCGTGTATGCCACCATTGCAAGAAGACTGAAAAAGAGGGAAATGAGACTGGTAAAAAGGGAGGAAAACCTGTTGATGCGTTTGTGAAGTTTATGTGCTTTTAGGTTGCGCTTCAGGCGCATCTATTTGAGGTGGTGGATCTAAAGATGCTTCAGTGCACTGGGAGAATGCGGGCTCTCTCTCCTTTTTTTCTGGCAAGGGATCACGATCCTAATTTTGCAATCTGCCGCTTGCAAGTTTTATCATGATTTATTCCCAGATACTTAACTGGCGGTATAAAAACAAATTTCTTTGTGGATCAGGAGTACCTACCCAGTTGATTTTGCGAGTTTGTGATAGATGGGGTGGGCAGTTTGGGGTCCTGAATCTGTTCTGGCCCAGGCATCCCATCATCCCTCACCATTGGCCATGCTCACTGGGGCTGATGGGAGTTGTAAGCCTAAACAGTTGCAAGGTCTTTGTTGCTGAAGTGGATCGACTCAACATCACAGGCCTAGTCAGTGGTCTAACTGAATTCTTCCAATTCTGTTTTCAGCTTTGGCAGGACAGGATTGAAGCAGCATCCCTCGAACACGGCGTGAAGTACCGCATCTTCATCAGCAACCTAGCCAAGGTAAGCTGCTGCTTATTTATGATTTCTTCCTTTCAGGTTCAACCCTTTAGGCCTCTTCCAGTGTTGCCTTGCCTAGTATTTGGCCTAAATACTATGTTCAACAATACTATGTTCCGTGGAACAGCTTGGCAGGGGCTTCAAAAATAACCTGCTTGGATCTTAAGAAGTGGGTCAGGACTGAGCAAGTATCTGGTAGACTCTTACTCTTTGAACCTTTTTCAGTCCGAGAGCCAAATTCCATCTCGGGGAAACCAAAGGCACCACCATTTTTCATTGTTCTTGTTTTTAAGGTCATGGAATTGTTCTGCTCAAAA